GCTTTCCCCACCATTATGCTCCGCTCCGCCGCCGCCGCCGCCGCGCCCGGCCCTCCCTCCGGAGCCGCCTCCTTCCCGCCGCCCGGCGCCTCTCGGGCCTCAGCCGGCGACGGGCGCGGGGGGCGGGGGGGACGCAGGCCGCCGCCTCCTCCTCCTCCCCGCCATCTCCTCCCTCCTCCCCGGCTCCCCCCGCTGGCTCAGCGCGGAGGGCTCGGGGCTCGAGGGGCGCCATGTTGGCGGCGGCTTTCACCACAGGAAAAAAAAAAAAAAAAAGCCTCGGCGCGCGCCGGGCCGAAGCCGGGCCAGGCGGCCGGGGCGCCGCGCGCCGGCTTGGAGGCCTGGACCGCCGCGCGCGCTTGTTCGCTCTCTCGCCCGCTCACTCACCGGGTCTCCTCAGCCCACGGCGGCGCGGGGCCTGCGGGGCTGCGGAGGACGCCCGGCGGGGTGGAAGTTGGCATCCCCGCCCGGCGGCGGTTCACTCGGCGCGGGCGCGGCCCTCCTCCGAGTTCATTGTGTGCGCTCGACTTTTTCCTCCCCGCGCGGGGCCGGGCCGGGCAGGGCAAGCGGGGCCTGGGCCGAGCCGCGCACGGGGGGCTCTAGCGGCGGACGCGGGACCTGCGCGGCCCGCGCTGCCTCCCCGCCCCGAGGCCGGGGGAGCCCGCCGCGCCCGCTCCTACCTTCCCTCGACCCGTCCTCGGCGCCTCTCCGAGAGACCGGCTTCAGCATATTCTAAGGGGGTCCACACAGGAACTCCATATCCACACACACGTGCAAGCTACGTACGTGCAGGCGCGCTGGAGCGGAGCACCGAGACGCGAGGGGAGCATTGTTAGGATCCGGCCCGGCCCGGTGGGCTGCGATGCGGCTCGCGGGCTGGACCCGCTCCGCCCGCGCCTTCCCAATGGCTCCGTGTTGTACAGGCGCTCGCCCGTGTGCTGACCCGAGTGGCTAAGACAGTATCCTCCTCTTTGCAACCCTCTGCTCAGAAGAGTTGCAAAAACACCCAAGTTCCCCCGTCCCGTGTATGCTCTAGTGGGACATTTAGAAAGAATGGACCACCCATTATCACTCTGGTTAGAACCTTACAAATTGCTAAGAGAAGTAGGTTATCTTTAGTGAGTGATTTCTAGATCTAATCAGAGGAGATCCCTTAAGCTATATGGCTTAGAAAGTCTTGGGGGAAAAGTCCGCGGAGATAAAAGCACATACAAATGTCATACATTGTCCTAATAACCTTTGCCTGCTAGGAGTCTGAAAAGAAAACCCTATTAGCCAAAATTATCTGCCCCTATTCTCATTGGATACATGTGCCTGAAAATTTTTGGAGATTCCCCTAGAAATGTAGAGTTCTTAAACAAATTATCCGTCTGTTTACAGAGCTGATCTCTTTAGAACTTAGAAATGAGTAGCAATGAGTTGGCCTTTGACATACACCAGTCAAACATGGTCTTTCAAACTGTTAACAGCCCTGCCGCTGATACCGCATCTCAAAGAGTGGTGGTCGGGTCTTTTGTTGTTTGTTCTTGTTTCTGGCTTTTTTTTTTTCCACTTCAAAAATCATGAAGTATTTATAATTCTTTAAACAATAAAATATGGCATGACAGTGCAGCAAGATTGCTCAGCAAGTAAATCACTCACAACCAAGTTTGAAGATCTGAGTTCAATCTGGAGACCCACCCGTATCTGATTGGAATGTTGAGCTGGGAAGCACCTATTTAAGTGAATCACCTTTTTAAAAAAAGTCTTATTTCAACTATAGAGGAACGCCTATTTTTATATTCCTATGTATTTGATAGAGGCCACCCAAGGATGGTGTGTGTGTGTGTGTGTGTGTGTGTGTGTGTGTGTGTGAACCATATCTTTTAGGAAAGAAAAGGACTGCATAATTTCCACCCACTCACCCTCCAGTTTTACTGAATAGAAATAAATTCTACCTCCATATACACCTCTCTTAGATAACCTAGCCATAAGATTTCCTATTTCTTTGCTCTAGTTCCCCAGCCCAATAACTTTATTAACTGCATTTGTCTGTCAACTGGGTGAGATGTATATGAGAGTGGGTCAGAAGGCCAGTGGCTAGAGGTTGGGAGAAGGCCTGGAAGGCCAAAATAATGTAGTGTTTCCATGCAACTTGTGACATACTCTGGATTTATGTGCTGGGTTGTGAAAACAAGACAAAAGGTTGAGGTTCTGAGGGGGGAAATTGGGAAAAGGAGGAATGATGGACTTGAGGGATGGTTTGCATCTGTCCACGTGAGTTTCACAGACTCCCACACAGCCTTCCTCTTCTTCCTTGGCCTCAACCAATACACACTATGGTTCATAATTTCTATTCAACAGATTGCTTTTTTCACATTCTGCTTTGAGACAAATCATGAAAATACAAAGGCAGAGAATATTCAAGAAATTGAGAGTGGAATTTTGTCTGTTAAGGAAATAAATTATATTCTTACTTTATATGCTTTCTTTAACAAGGTCCAAATGAAAAGACCTTAAGTCTTAGAAAATCTTAAAACTTCTTAAGTCATAGAAAAACTGAAATAGTTCCAAAGCTTCTAGAGAAAACATATAGATGAATATTTGTGAGATTTTGAGTGGAGAAAAGAAATATCTAAAATTCTCTAGGAATGGGTTGGGGAGGGGTATGTAAAAGAACGTCACACACACACAGCACACACACAAAGAGAATAATAAATTTGACTGTAAAGTGTATAAATCATGTCAAAAACAAGTCACTCTATGAGAAGTTCCTTCTTGTGTACTTTCACCTCGTTTTCTTCTTATAAAGTGCAGTGTGTATTTCTTGGGAATCAAGAAGAATCATATTCACTGCCATAGACAGTTGAAGCCTACTGTGGAGTTCTAAGTGTTCTTGGCTTGCTAATTGCTAATTGTAGTAATAGCTCAGGTGTGCCTGCTACTGAAGTGTAGTGTTTTCTGTTTTACTTTTATTGTTATTCCTTGGCTTTGTTATCTTCGTTTTGCATTAAAAGGTGGCTAACAAATGAGTGTGTGGATCACACCCTTAATCCCAGCCCTTGGGAGGCAGAGGCAGGTGGATCGAGGTTGGGCCCGGTCTTCAAATCAGCTATTACAACCATCTGGAAAAACCGAAGGGTAAAAAAATGGCATGAACAATGGCATGAACAATGAACCATTTATATATCTCTCCTCCAAGAGCTTGGACTTAAGGGCACAGTAGCACTATCTATATAAAGCTCCAGGAACTCGGAAGAAATAGCACATTATAGAGAAATAAGTGAGCAGAAAGCATCTGGTTGTGATAAGGTTATTAATGTAAAATGTCACTCCCTACACAGGAATTTTCCTAGAGCTCAATCTAATGGGATTGTTCCTGCATCTTTCTCCAAACCACAAACCTAAGTCATCATTTTGCATTTACACACATCCAGGTACACCGTACAGGTTAAATGAAAAACGCTGCAGGGAAAGTTGGTGGTCTCCTTGGAAAGCAAAGTGCTGTTAAGACATAATTTTACTGATGTAATGCCAAAGGCTCTGTCATTTACCTATTACACGTTTTTTTTTTCTTTCTTTCTTTCTTCGGTGTACGTATGTGTGTGTAGTGCAGGCATTCCTGACTGCATGTATGTATGACAGCGTACTGGCTCCTGCTGGGGAGAGACTGACCTTACAATATCTTGCGAAATTGCTTCTCCATGTCTTTTGAGACAAGACCTCTCAATGAGCTCACTTTCCAACAGAGAAGCTGACCATTAGCCCCTAGGATCCATGTGTCTGCCATCACCCGCCCTCCCCCCAACTACTGGACTTAGAGACAGACTACTACATTCAGCTGTTACCTGGGCACTGGGGATCTGAGTTCAGGTCCTCATTGCTTGCACAGAGAGCACTTCACCCCCTGAGCCATCTTCCCTGCCTGGAGTTTCTCTTAATGCATGCTAATTAAAATTCCATGGTAAAGGGATTGTGGGATGTGCGACTATTGTGACTATTATTTGTAGACTAGTAGCCAGGAATAGTAAATGAACTAAGGATTGTTAAATATGTAACACAAAGCAAGCTCTGCCTTATTCCCTCCTAGAAAAAAGAGATAAGACATTTGAGTATATGTCCAACTCCTGTTGTTCCCTTTTTGTCTAACACCAGGTGTACAGTAAATGTCTGATCCCCTAACTCCAGGCTAGTTGCTATGGGAGAAGAACTTGAACCACGGCAACCCTCATGAACACCCTTAAAGATTCCTGTCAAAACTCCATCCTCAGTAGGCTTCACCTGGAACCAGTTACATAATTTTTGGCAAGTAGCAACTTCTCCCCACATCAGCTCCCTCTGTAATTGAAGGAGGGTTACTAATTGCATGTTATGTTCCCATTAGCACAGACTTTTATGAACTTCAGGGTTCCACAAGCGTTGGTTCTCCAGCTCTTACTGTCCGCTCTCATTTTTGGTGGTGGTGGTGGTGATGGTGTATAGGTGGATATTTGATCACAAGCATGTACAGCATGCATGTAGAAGCCAGCTCTCAACCTTGGGTGCCATTCTTCTGGCACAGTCCACCTTGTATTTTAAGACAGTGTCTCTTCCTGGCCTGGAACTCAACAGGTAGGCTATGCCAGGTGGCTAGCAAGCCCCAGGGATCTGCCTGTCTCCACCTCCCTAGAGCTACAATTGGTAGCATGTGCCACCAGTTATTTAAAAAAAAAAAACATAACAAAACAAAAATGTTAGTTGTGGGGATCAAACTCATGTCCTCCTGCTTGTATGTACGGCGAGCATGTTACCAACTGAGCAGTCTCCCCAGCCATCTGTTCTGTAAGACTCTCCCTACGGCGCTTTTAAAATGTTCTTCTCTGGAAGAGCTTGTTCCCAGCACTCTTACTTCTCTTCCTGCTTGGCTGCCTTCTGTATTTCTCCCACCCCCTTTCATGTCGGTTGAGCTGAGAACTCTCATCGCGTTTGATGGTTCTCAGCCTCTGTACTGCTGCTGCTGCACTGGTGATTCTGTGGTGTCCAGCCTGTCACCTGACAATAGGTGCTCATGGAGAGACTCCTTGGTCTCCAGCTCCTTTTTGCTCCCTTCCTGTCGAGCAGCCAGAACTAGAATAGTTCATAGAATAGTTTCATGTGCGTATCACTGCCGCATCCCAGGAAATTCTTGTCTTCATGTGAACACTTACAACAGAGAAAGACAGGAGTCACCGTCTACTCAAGGCAGACAAAAGGCAGAATGCCTTGACCCTGGGTGTCCAAAATGCTGAGTCACCAAAGTCTCTCAGAGCCTCCCGAAAAGGAGAGCCTGTCAGGGGTTAGGGAGAAAACTCAGGTGGTAACCTGGATGCCATGCAAGCAAGAGAACTTGAGATTCAATTTCTAGAATCCACATAAAAAGTCTGGTATGATAGTGTACCTTTGTAATCCCAGCACCAAGGAGACAAAGACAAGACCCCAGAGCTCACCAGCCAGCCACCCAATCATTAAACCATAAGTTCAATGAGAGTTTCTGGGAGAAAACCAGATCGATCAAGCGGAGAGTGAGAGAGGAGGTTGTCTTGACCACCGGCCTCCACAGGCAAATATGCAAACCCCACCACCACCACCCACACACAATGAAGCCTGAAAATTTGCCAGTCAATCCCTGTTCCTAGAGGTCCATTCTCAGAAAATAGCGTACTGCCTGTGCTTTTTGGATGATTCTTGGTTGGGCATTTTTGTTAGAGAGGAGTCTCGGGCTAGCACCTTCTAGAACGA